GATGTGCTCTTAAGTCGATTCCCACTCCTTCTGTATTAGATTTAACTGATAACAGACTTACTCGCTGGCAATTTTATCATAAGGTTGTGGAAAACTTTTGGCGTAAATGGCAAAGAGAATATCTTTTCGAATTGCAAACGCGTTCAAAGTGGTTTAGTACTCAACCTAATTTAATGAAAGGCGATCTTGTTTTAGTAAGAAATGAACAACTGCCTCCAAATAAGTGGGAATTGGGTCGTATTATCAGTACTCATCCTGGTGCTGATGGGTTGGTTCGCGCTGTTACTATAAAAACTGCAAATTCAAAGTTTCAGCGTCCAATTGTTAAATTGGTTAAGTTACCTATTAATAATTTTAAATAAAATTTTACTGTACTGATTAATCTTATAAATTCTAAATACTAGCCCTGTTATTGCTGAGCGTTCTTGTTTATCTTTTGTATTAATTGACTTCGCAATTGCGGGGGAGTATGTTCGAGATTGAGTTACTGAAGTAGTATATATGCTTATTAAATAAATATATGTAATCTCTATGGAACCCTGTTCCTAGGGAACCATTATTTATTATTATTATTATTATACATATAACAAACTTATACACGATTTTGGTTCTGTACCTTACGAGAAATAAAACTGTTTTAAAAAGAACATAATACTATTTCCTAAAACTCCAAGACATTCATTTTGCTGCTCTAAAACAACTAGCAAACCCCAAACGTTTTCAATTGGGTTTAGATCTGGACTATAAGAAGGCCACGGTAATAGTTCAATATTATTAGCTCCGAACCATTGTGTTATTATTCTTGCTGTATGGACAGGGCAGTTGTCCTGTTGGTAGATGAAGTTGTTGTTGGGGTATAATTGCTCCACTGAAGGAAGCACAACATTTTCCAAAATATCCCTGTAAACCTGCCCATTGAGTCTACCAACCAAACGCCATGCTACACCAGGTCCATGCACGCTTATCCATGCCCAAACATTAACTGAGAATCGTCCGGACCTGTTCCGTGGAGACACGTATTTTTCATGAAACCTGGAATTTGCAGGTCGATATACACGAATATGTCCGTCATTACTAGACTGGAAAACTTTTTCGTCAGTAAATACAACATTATTCCAAGAATCTAAGGCATAATTTAAGCAAAACAAGATCCGGGCTTGCTTTTGTTCTTCTGTTAGGATGCTCTTCTTGGCACTTGCCCAATTCTTGATATCCGAGTTTCCTATTCTCCGGCATGCTGTTGACCACGACGCTGGAAAGTTAGTTTCGAACACGGCATCTCTTGCGGTTTTAAATGGATTTTCCCTTAAATAGGCAATAAGCGCTTCATCCTGATCGACATTAGATTTTCTCGAGCGGCCCGAACCATCTTTTCTGCATACCCTTTCTTCCTCCATCTACCTTTTCTTTACCCTCATTATGGTACTTTTATTAACATCGTAATGGTTCGCAACTGCCCTGATGGACCATCCTTCTTCCAACTTCGAGAGGATTAAAATTTTCTGGCGTTCATTTAATTTTGCCATTGTGATAATATGACACTGACACTGACAAATAAATAAACATTAATTTGAAAAGTCAAAATTTAAAAAAGACACATTTACACAGCTCATTATTTGCGACAACTGAAGTGTACGCGATTTTGTTGCAAGCAAGTGTACAATTGGCGTCTCCGAAATGTGAACGATTTTTTGTTGTCATGGATTTTTTTCATAAAATTTATTCGTTCATTCCTGGCTTCGGCCAGTGGTGTTACATATAGAAGGGAGAATACTAAGAATAAGAACAATATCCTAAATCGTTCTATTTTTTTAATAATATTTTAACAAACAATAATATAAACAATATAACAAATAAATTAACTTTAATTTGGTTTTATACAACAATATAAATTAACAAGTAGGTAAATACACAATAAAAATAACATAACTAAATTAACATATTGCTCAAGAAAATTGGTTTTTAAGTGAATACTAAGAATAAGAACAATATCCTAAATCGTTCTATTTTTTTAATAATATTTTAACAAACAATAATATAAACAATATAACAAATAAATTAACTTTAATTTGGTTTTATACAACAATATAAATTAACAAGTAGGTAAATACACAATAAAAATAACATAACTAAATTAACATATTGCTCAAGAAAATTGGTTTTTAAGTGAAATAGCGGCAGATTTAAATGTCAGTAAAAGCTGCATATTTTATATCAAAAAACGTTGGCAAAAACAACAAAGATTGAGAAGACCTATCAGGCAAGGTGTAGGTAAAATCTCCAACGAAAATGAAGACAATGCTCTTGTCGCACTTATTAGGCAAAATCCTTTCAATAGCGCATTTAAGGCCCGAGAAGATACACAATTTCCAGGATCTCTTCGAACAGCTCAAAAAAGATTGAAACAAGCTGGCTTAAAAAACTGTGCTGCTAAGCTATTTTAATACTTAATTGCAGAGCCATTAGCTGCCACAACCCTTTGCAACCTTCTTGGCATGGACATTATTAGCTCACGCATGTCGTATAAATCAGCAAGCTCATCCCAAGAATTTTCAACAGCACTCCATAGTTCATCTCGGTTCCCTATTGAAAATGCCATATAGAACCATATAAAAAACACGTATCTGGATTCTATATGGTTTCTATCTGGTTCAATATAGGTATTTGAAACAGGCATTTCACTATAGAACCAGATAGAAGATTACATTATAGAACCAGATAAAAACACTCTAAAACACTATAGAACCAGATAGGGAAACCTATCTGGAATTACATATAGAACAGAAACCAGATAAATCCATATACATGTCTTTATAAAGACATCTATATGGTTGTATATGGATTTATCTGGTTTCTGTTCTATATGTATTTCCAGATAGGTTTCCCTATATGGTTGAATATGAAAATTTTTAAAATGGAAATCCATATTCAACCATATAGAATCCGTAATGTAAACCAGGACTTTCCATATAGGACCTATAAAACCATATAGAACCAGATACGTTTCCTTATCGGTTTCAATATGGGTTCTATATGGCATTTTCAATAGGGTTTGCTGGCCTAAAGTCCCGTTGATATATATTTTTAACTATAAAACCCCACACGTTTTCAATGGGGTTTAAGTCAGGGCTTCTAGCTGGCCATGGCAAAACAGTTATGTGGTTGTTGTTTACCCACTCTGTAACCACGCGAGCTGTGTGAACTGGTGCATTGTCCTGTAATATAATATTTATTAGAATCGTTTTTGAATACTATACAGTTTTCTTACATGTTGAAATATAAAGTTTTCTGGAAACACATGTCTAATGCCGGTTTTACACCAAACCGACTAGTTGAGTTGCTGTTTTGTTGCTGTTTTAAAAAACAAAAACTCAACTGTTTTTAACGATAAAACTGTTCACACTAAACAGACAAAAATTAGTTGCTGTCGAGTTTTTGTTTTTTGTCTTTTTACATCAGAGAAACAGTTGCAGTTTTGTTTAGTTCTATTCAGAAAGTAGATGGTTGTTCATTATTTTATATTATTTATTTAAAAAAATTAACATGGATAGTGACGAGAAACGCTTTTTTTTCCTCGTGTGCGGCTGTTGGTACGTGATTTAGAAAAAAAAAAGAAAACGTCGGGTGAGATCCTTATTAAATAGAAGGAAATATGATGGTGGTGCAAAGATGTTAATGGATTTACAAAAGGACGACATAGGGTTAAGTGGCGAATTACGTTCATCAACTCAAGTTGATAACAGACGTTTACACCAAGCCGACTGAGTTGCAAAAAACGTAGCAACTCTTTGAAGTTACCGACATCGATCGGGAAACGAAAAACACAACAGCAACTGTTGAGTTGCCGAAAAATCTTCAAAAAATCTGCAAAAAGTTGCGGTTTTGTTTTTTTCAGCTCGAATTGCTGTTTTGTCGGTTTAGTGTAAAACCGGCATAACTGAAGGTAGCATAACGTTGTCCAAAATCCTGGTATAGTGCTCAGCCGTTAATCTACCATCAATTTCCCAACATACTCCCGGACCATGGATGCTTATCCACGCCCAAACATTTATGGAAAAGCGTCCACTATTTGAGGTTTTTAATGTATAGTTCTCCTCAAATCTTGCGTTTCTTGGACGATATACACGCAGCCTTCCATTATTGCAAGATTGGAACGTTTTTTCATCCGAAAATATAACATTATTCCAAAAATCTTCTCCATAATTTAAATAGTCATTGGCGAACTGGACTCTCCTGCGCTTATTTTCTTCAGTTAAAAAAACCTTATGAGCAGCAGCACAGTTTTTTAAACCAGCTTGTTTCAATCTTTTTTGAGCTGTTCGAAGAGATCCTGAAAATTGTGTATCTTCTCGGGCCTTAACTGCGCTATTGAAAGGATTTTGCCTAATATGTGCGACAAGAGCATTGTCTTCATTTTCGTTGGAGATTTTTCCTACACCTTGCCTGATAGGTCTTCTTAATCTTTGTTGTTCTTGCCAATGTTTTTTGATATAAAATATGCAGCTTTTACTGACATTTAAATCTGCAGCTACTTCACTTAAAGACCAATTTTCTTCTAATTTGGCTATTGCCCTGGACCTCTGAGCCTCGGTTAAGTGGGGTGGCATTTTTAATATTGCAATTGACAACTATTATCAAATTTGACAACTACCGACGACACTGATGCAAAGCCCATATTACACGATTAAATTTTGCCGTTCACATTTCGGGGACGCCAATTGTACATCAGCGGTGACCAACCCGCGGCACGCGTGCCACAGGGTGGCACGCCTGACTCTCTAGAGTGGCACGCCAGGTTTTCCACAAATAAAGAAAAAAATTTTAATATTATTAAACCAAATAACCAAAACTCACTTTCACTAAACAGACCAAACTAAAGCAAAAAAGTAAAATTTAAAGCCCTAAGCGTCGCTCCATGTCTTGGAATTGCGGCGCGATAGAAGCGGTCGGGTTGACGGGCGGACTCGCGGTCGTTTGTAAATTGTGTATGAATTGGGTGCGCAACGAGGACCGCTCAACGAGCGAGCGCCAGTCAGCAGGCAAGCAGTAGTCAGTCAGTCAGATTTTAGCCGGCTGGTAGTGAACGCGCACCTCACTCGCGTAGATAGGTGTTACATGTGCGACTCAGACCATTTACATAACCAACTCTTAGTGCCGATTGTACACTACGCAAGCCGCATTATACATATAATTACGCAAGTGCAATTATGTCATATTGGTCGGTGCGTTATGTAACAATATTTTCGTGAATACTAGAAACACAATCAAGGTTACAGGATTATTAAGTGAATATTTACTTTGATTGTATATTGTTACTCTTGAAGCAGGGTTATTTAATATTTTAAAAGCGGGTGGCAGTGTGTTGCGCAAGTGGTGCTAAAGATCGATAAAATAGCCGGTGTTTATTCCTTTTGCACGTGTAAATGTTTTATTACTGGACTATTTAAAAATATGGAGTGCTATAATTTCAGAAACATGCGCCACATAAGCGACACGACAAACAAAAATTTGATTATGCAAAAGTTCCCTGACTTGCTTCGTTCATTAAAAGGCGTCAAATGTTATGACATAGGGAAGCTTAAATCCAAAGGACGAATACAGAGAATACCAAATAATAACGAGAGGCGAAAGAGAATAGAAAGGTTAAAAAAACCCACCACCATAAGGTTCAAGAAATTTGACAGTGCGTTTTTTATCGCAATGGAAAATAGACCGTTTCTGTTCAGTTGCCCAATTTGCAGGAATATCTTAAGGGGACCAATAACCGTGGACTGCGGACATACATTTTGTAGTTCTTGTTTGGAGTTGACTAACAGTAATTTGTGTGTAGTATGTTCCATTGAAATTGGCGACAAACGATTCGTTAATGTTTTAATCCAGGATTTAGTGGAAAAATGGAGGGAGAAAAATAAACATAACACTGCATTATGTAAGTCACTTTTATAAATTTAGAATTACTAATTTTAAATAAACTTTTGCATTAGTCATTTTTATGGGATTAAAGGGTTTAAATTTGTAAATACCTACCTTCATTTAATTATACATTGGGAAAGATTAATTTTTTTGTTTTTTTGCAACGGTTGCGTACCCATTAAACTAAACCAAATAGGGTGCTTTTTCCAATTTATCTTTCTTATGAAACTAAACAACATATATACGTGTGGTCTGGTAAATTTAAAAAAATAGATCACATCGCGCTTTTAGTTCCCTTTAAACCTCTAATATTCAGTTAGTTGAATCACCCTGTATATTTATATACTTTTTTTAATTACCAATAAAAATATCCTACTTGTAATTAATCAAATAATATTTAATAATTATTACTTTTTATCTCTTCTTATTAATTTTTGTTATACAACTGATCTCTTAAAGATTGGGATTTATATTAGAATTTAAGAATTTTAATAGTATTGATAAATAAACATAAAATTTAAATGATCATTTAAAATATAAAGTTTATATTATAAACTCTGAATTTAACAACAACTTTATATACATATACTTTATATAATAAGTTTATATATATATATGTATAGTATTGTATATATATTTATAGCCACACCAGGCTTTATAAAATTCATAAATATTTATTTAAGGATTAGATAAAAAAAATTAGTATTTTGGATAATGTGTTATGGAACATGGCAAAGCAATAAAATTTGTTAACTATACAACAAAGCGTTGTGCAACGAATATTGAACAAAACGACTTGTGTAACCAGAACATATATAACAAAAAAATAGTACGGTTTCCAATAAACATGGTTTCATAACGACAGACAATGAAACTACTGCGATATTTTTTTTAAATAAAATAATATTACAAGTACATACAACTATAATAAGTAGATAAACATTGCAAGCGTAATTATATAATACACAATACATTAAAAATACGTAAAGGCGTAATCTAGTTTTTAACAAATTTTAAGAAGAGCGATTTAAATAGTGACTCATCTTAGAAATATACTTAGTTTAAGAAGTAATACTTTTAATAATTATATAATAATTATTATAATTCAAAGTATTCCATAAATGTTTAAAATATTGTAATAACTTTTCTTTAAATGGCTTCGCTAAAAATTTGTTAAAAACTATATACCTACGCCTTTACGTATTTTTAACGCTGAGGCTTATATCTATTTTTTAAATAAATGCATATATACAGAGACCTGCATAAAAAACGGCCATTGCTGTAGCATCGTTATTCCTTATCCGATTTTTAAAATTCAAAAACCAGTTTAAATGGTATGATGTCTTCTATGATTCGACGATTAAAAATATTTTTTTTATTATGATGCTTGTGAGGACTGATAGTCAACTTTTATTTTTCAAATGACAACTATATTTTTTTATTATTTTTTCGCATTTCTTATGCTTCTCTGAGCATAACGGTATATCAATATCATAATTTTAATTATAAAACACGAAGAAAACAAATAAAACTGCGAAAATTTTTACATATCGTAGTAGCATCAGGACACCCACAAAATGCTTCCAATTTAATAAATATGCGTATCCATGGTTACGGCTTTTTTCTCTATGAACTTCAGGCGTTTTTTATTTTAAAACGTAAACACAGTTCATAAAAGAAATGTAAATAACTAAATAACCAAACCGTGTGAGAAGATTAGACACATAATTTATTCAAATATGAATAATTTTGAGTTAACTGATATGATTCAGATTTATTTTGAATGTTTTCAAAATTCAAGAGAAAGATGTCGGCTTTGTTTGAACAGAAGCTATAATAGTATATTACACTACAAGGGCAGAAAGTGTGAGATTCCTGCACTGCGCGCCATGATGCCCGAGGCGAAGCCGAGGGCATCATGGCGCGCAGTTCAGGACTCTCACACTTTCTGCCCGTGTAGTGTATACTATTTTTCTTACTACCCTGCAGAAAATACGGGAAAAAATTAAATTTATATAAAAAAATTTGTGTCAAAATTAAAATCTGACGTTTAATTTAATTCTGACGTTTACATTCAAAATCAATCAAACTGTAGCGTTGTCATGGTAATTCAGCTGTGCCAATACAGTAAAAATAAAAGGTTGTATTTTAATTAACAAATTACTACTTTATAACAAATAAAAGTACCATTAAACACTTAAAACAACATAAAAAGTAAAAACGTAAAAACATAAATTGTTTATTTGTTGTTATAATTGCAAAATTATGGTTTAAAACTGTCATATTTTTGTGTTTCTCATGTTGGCAGTACGAAATTTAAATGTTAAGCACGCGTCTAAAAAATTTTTACTCCCGCTATTAGAGTGTGCGCGTATAGCTTGACCAATGCAAGAAACGTAAACTTTCTGCCGTGAAATCGGGGACGAAACAACGTATTTTGAGTCGAGGTAGTAAGAAAAATTTATTATGATTATTATACTATATTATGTATTACTTTGGTTTTGTTTCAGTATAAAATTAAAAAAATCTGTTTGTTTTATTGATGCTGCTTGGCATTTTTATTTTTATAAAAGTCATAACAGAGACAAGAGTACTCTATGAGTCATAACCATGGATACGCATATTATTAAATTGGAAGTATTTTGTGGGTGTCCTGATGCTACTGCGATTTGTAAAAATTTTCGCAGTTTTATTTTTTTTCTTCGTGTTTTATAATTAAAATTATGATATTAATATACCGTTATGCTCAGAAAAGCATAAGAAATGCGAAAAAATAATAAAAAAATATAGGGTCAAGAGGGGTAAATGTAAACAGGGGTAATTGTAAACACCACAAATTTTCTTTTTAAATTTGCCGCCAGAACTTTATTACTTCTGGCAGTTGTCAAACATCCCCTCCTCTCATACTATTCAAAAAAACAGGTGTTTACGCAAGCGTCTTCAGTTTGTTTTGTGTTCTTATTGTCACCATAACAATAATCCTCTTTTTTCATTTGTGGCTACTGTGTAAATATTCAGGTGAAAATTTAATTCTAAAGGTAAGTACTATAAAATATCTTTGGAAGGGTTGCAAATACCTTAACTATTGTGCCAAATAATGCTTATAAACTGGATATCTTACTTTAATAATTTTTAAAGAGTGTTTACTTTTACCCCTAATAAAAGTGTATAGGGGGTAAATGTAAACGCGTGGTTGGGGTAAATGTAAACCGACTTTTGGGGTAAAGGTAAACGTAAGTTTTAGTCAATAAATTTGTTTTAGATGCCTAGAAAGTATATTCCCAAAACTAATGGGCCAAATTATTCCAAAGAAGACCTTGAAAATGCCGTTCGAGATGTGCAGAACAGAAATATGTCTTACCGGCAGGCACAAGACCACTACAATGTACCAATTGCCGTTATTTCCCAACGGCTGAATGGAAGAAAAACTGCCATGGATTCTTCAGGGAGAGGTCGTAAAACAGCATTTACTTATGACACAGAAAAGAAAATCGTCGATTGTTTGTTGGCTCGCGCAAAATCTGGATTTCCGTGTGATAAGGACGAACTTTTGGACCTCATTCAGGAGTATGTAAAATCTAATAACATGTCAACCCAGTTTGTTAATGACCGCCCAGGTGTGGATTGGTATTACTCGTTTTTAAAACGGCATAAAAATCTTTTATCTTTAAAAAAACCCGAACACCTACAAAAATGTCGCAAAGACGCCAGAAGGCCCGATGTAATTTACAAATTCTATGAAGATTTAAGCAGCACATTTGATCGATTCGGAATAACGTCTCTGGAACAAGCATGTTTTGTTTTTAATGCAGATGAGACAGGCTTCAAAAACGACCCAAGTCGATTAAGAGCTATTGGGCAGAAGGGAAAGCCTCTAAGCCGCGTTTCTGGGGGATCGGGTCGAGAATCCACTACGGTCCTCGCATGTGTGGGAGCAGATGGGTCAGTGCTTCCTCCTCTCATTGTATTTAAGGGCGCTGGTGTGCAAGCCCGCTGGGTGTCTGATAAAGCATATCCTGGAACCCTGTATGCAGTATCAAAAAATGGTTGGATGGAAGAACCCCAATTCTTCACCTGGTTTACAAAGAGTTTTATAACTCATATAAAAAATATAAGACTATTAAAGGATCTTCCAAACCAAACAGCGGTTCTAATATATGATGGGCATGCTAGCCATATTAGTGTTCGTATAGTTGAAGAAGCTATGTCTAACAATATTATTCTAATTAAGTTGCCAAGCCATTTGACGGACATGCTACAACCTCTTGACAAATGCGTATTTGGTCCTGTAAAGACTTTTTGGGAGAAAAAACTTATCGCGCATGGAAAGAAACAAATGGGGAAGGGAACCGGAAGATTGTCTAAAACAGAATTTGTTGAGCTTCTGGGTGAAGTTTGGACTCATGCAATAAAACCAACAAATATTATATCTGGTTTTAGTAGTTGCGGGATTTTTCCCATCGACAAAACAAAATTTCCCACAGATTGCTTTAAACAACGTGAGTTAGAGGAATATCTGCAAAATCAGAACTCTTCATCTAAAGAAAATAATAATACTTTACAAAATACAGAAAACTCTAAGGATACTTCTGAAAATATTCCACAATTTGAAAAATGTCTGCAGAATCAAAGCAGTTTATCTAAAGAGTCTAATGATTTACAAGAAACAGAAAAAGATACCCCTGAAGATATTCCCGATGATCTCCACGCCGAATCAATCATGTCTCAAGAGGTGAGAGTGGTCACTCCAACAGATGAACAAAGAAACCAATCTTGTAAACACCATACCACTGAAACTTGTACATCTAGTTGTATGGCGACTAATATACTAGACGCACCACATAAACTTACCAAGTTGTTTTTTAAGTCCCCAGAAAAAAATGAAAACGTTACTACAATAGTAAAACAAGTAATACCAAGATTAAGACAACAAACCTATGGCGAAATTTTAACAAATAAAGAAGTCCTTGATAGACTAAAACAAGCACATGAAAAGAAGATAAAGAAACCGAAACC